CGGGGAAAGGCCTCAGTAGAGCCTCAGTCTGGCCTGGAAACTGTTCCAGGATTTTGAGTCTCTGTGTGTGTGTATTCTTGTTTGGATATTATTTGTGCAGTTGTTGGACAAAATGACTTGCTGTGGCATTAATTGCACTAATAGAGCATCCAAGGAGTCTCCACTTCATTTTTTTTGTAAGTAAAATTATATTTATGTATTTTAGGTCACTGCCAAGCTGAGCTTAGATTTTAACATGTACTGTTTAACCATGAAATTTAAATGTAATAGGGTAAAACCCAGTGCATTTAACATAATGCTGCACTTTAGAAAATGGGTTGAAATATAACATGTTGGTGGAGCTGGGTTCCCACTATCGGCTTGTGGAGCTCTCAGGAGACCGATGGAGACCGATGTTAGCTTAGCTCCCACCTCCGCGTTAGCTTTGGGTTAGCCAGGGTTAGCTTGTAACTAGTTTGACAGGGTGTCGTCAGTCGATCCCAGCCTTACAGCCCCACCTCTCTTCCCTTTTATGGAATTGTCTGGGCTTGACAGAACCTGTGACTCGGTCAAAATGGCGGTGGTGGCCACCTCCCATTTTTCTTCCAAAACGTGTTATTGGAATCTATGGAAACCCATTGTCCATATATTAATGTCGATGGCGTGAACGCGCATGAAGCAGCCTGCTCGACCCGAGCATCTCTCTTTTTCTGTGATTTTACAGAAAAACAGGCAATCACAGTAAAAATGCCAGGGCTCATTCTACAGGACCAGGGCATTGCAGGAGAATGTATGAAGAAGATATTTATTATTTCTATACATGTTTTGGCTGTCACACTTCCATAATGCCCCTTTAAAGCAGAATATTTGTTCTTTAGTTTTAGATGTGCACATTTCTAGATTTGTAGCTTGTTTTGTGTACAAAATATGCCACATATGAAGAAATGGATAAAAATTAACAAAATCACATTAAAATTGTGTCATCTGCTGTGTCTTATATCACATTTATATTTTGGTTTCATAAAGACATTTTGATCACAATAGTAAATAGTACCCCATTTTCTTAGTGTGCTTCTTGTTTATGTCTGGAAGAGAGAACATCCACTCCTAAAGGCGTAGTTTGTGCACGATGTCTGTTGCAACAAGTGGGGTCCACCACTGATGTGGAAGACGCGACCAGCGCGTACCGCACCCTGATCCAGTCCCCGAGCTGCCGGTCGCCGAGGATGTGCAGCACACTGAGCTGAACGCAGATTGCACCATTCCTGCCGCCTTCACCGGGGAGGCTGTAATCCGATCCTGTTCAGAGAAGCTGTCGTGCAGGCTGTGAAGAGGAAGAGGGCACTGCTTTTGCTCTCTCTCTCTCTCTCTCTCTCTCTCTCTCTCTCTCTCTCTCTCTCTCTCTCTCTCTCTCTCCTCTCTCTCTCTCCTCCCCCTTTTCTGCCAAGTGTCACCCTCTTCCTCTCATCTGTTCACTCCCTGCTCGGAGAGACTGCTCGGCGGCGCACCATCCTCCAGGATCATCGCATCGACTTGGCTTTTTATTTCATTTGCAACGGAGCTCTTCCTCCTTTTTCAACCTCTTTTTCCTTCTTCGCTTATTTGGGAATCTACCTCATGCACTGCAGCCCGGTGACGTGCCCGAGCATGTTCACACCAGAGACGGCGTCGGATTTACCTGAGAGTCCGCTGCCCTCCGCGCGCGCACGTTTGGACTGAGAAAGAAAAGAAAACACCATAACAGGGGGGGTCACACCGGATTACAAGGATGGGGTTCTACGGCACTTTAAAGATGATCTTCTACAAAGTGAGTTGGGTTTGGCACCTCCACCACATCCTCTTGTTCTCACGCTGGACTCCCATTATCTCTGACGCGCCTCTCGCGGCAGAATGTGCGGCCACTGCGGAGGATGAGCAGCAGTGTGGCAGACCCCCAGAGACGCCTCTTTTTAATAACCCGGGCCTTATGTTAGATCAACCCATCCTTAAATGTTGTCACACATCAGGTCTGCTCGGTTCTTAATAGTAACTTCATGTGCAATTAAAAAACAGTTTTTATTCACAAATGTAATGTTTAGAAGCATTTCTAGTGTAGTCCATGGTCTTGCATTATTTAAACTCTCAATAAACACTAAATCTCCTCAGTACAGCCTCCCTTTGCCTCAGCAGCACTCTGCACCTGCATCAGTGTGGTCCTCCCTCTCTCATACTGTTTCTTCAGCTTTTACGGCTCACATCAGCTCCCTTTTGCATTTCTGCTCATGTAAACTCGTGGAAATATCTGCACTAGAACAGCTCCGTTTCTCTCTGCAGCCTCCCTGGCAGGGCTTTCATAATTAGACATTATGCAGCACTGGTTATCTTGCACTGACCAAAGTAAGTGTTTGAGATGCATGCATGCCTGTTCCCTGACACTGTGCTCTTGCCTCAGGCTCCAAGCACAGATAATGGGTCACTGTGTCAGACCGCGTGAGGTAGAATCTCCTCGAGGATGGTGCATGTTTTCTGCTGGATGGCATCAGTATAATGAGGCTCATTTTAATTAAATCACAGGATACAGGCAAATATCAAAGCAGCTGTAATTCAATAAGTTGGGTCTAAATGAAGTGCTTGATCATGTTTGGTTCACAATCAGATAGAAAATATCCTTTGTGGGAGATTGACCGGGTTAATGCCAATAACCAGCTGAATATCGTGGCTAATGGATGAAATAGCTGCTACTTTACAGTGAAATATTATTTCTTAGTGACTAATTCTGACTCATTCTTTTGCTTTGATTGCAGTTGTAGTCTTTAAAAATCAAACAACTTGACGGATCTTTTCAAAACGTTTTCAGACGTTTCTGCATCTCATCAGGAAGCTGTTTAACGACCGCTTAAAGCGCTGTCTGAAAAACGAGACGTTTTTTAAATCAGTGATTGCCGTTGAAACGAATCAACACATTTGTGGGAGCGATTGCTATCTTTGAGACATCATTAACCTTCTTCGTATCCATCTGTCACGCTTTTGGCCACATAAAGAAAGGGAAGCCCGAAGGAGGGGGAGGAGGGGCGACTCGGTAGTGATTTACAAACGCGGTGTTACCTTTTCACCAGACTCAAACACTCGTCTTTCTACCCTCTTCTTTCCCATGCCAACAAGTGTTTTCTCACACACATACACTCCAAAAACCACCCAATACTCCCCTTCTTTTTTATCTGTTTCTCACACAAGGACACACACAAAACACAAACACACACTCCCTCTGCATGCGTACACACACTCAGGCTCTCCTTGGCTACTGAACTGCCATTGCAGTGAGATCACCACTTTGAGAACAAGGCATTCGGGTTTAACTTGTGTGAATATCACATAACTCCTCCTAGTCAGGCGAGCTTTACATTTAGACAGGTCCAACACAAGGCTCATGCCTGCCCACGCTTTGAAACAATCCTCTTAATATTAGTTCAGCATAGTTTCTTCTTGCAGTGCTTGAGGTTTTTACTACGTTTCCTTTGAACCTCTCAACCCCATCAAACACGCGTGGAATTACAAAAAAGATGGTCCCAGATCACAGCTCCCAGTGTCCAGGGCATCTCTACTCTTTGTTTATGTGGTTCCAGAGGAGGAAAAAATAGATCTTTGCATCATGACTTGCTGTTCTCAGCATTCACGTGCGTGCCCATGGAGCGTAAACCACAGAGGACAAACGCTCTCAGATACACATTTTCTAAATTACAGTGATAAACCCCCAGAAAGTACACATCTTGTGGTAGACTTGTAATCATGCCAGCGTAGAGCCAGACAGTATGGAGTCAAATGTCCAGCACTCGTTTCCTTGTGTAGAGAACAATGGTATGATAATAAACCTGCATCAAAGAGCTTTGTTTGCCTCAAAGGGAGAAAACCAGTTAAATTTGGCTTCTGCTTTCTACCAGCTATCGTCTAATTCCACTTAAACTGGCAGAAGTGCATATTTTCCTGCACATGTTGTGTCTCGGCAGGCTGGACTGTAACAGTAAACTTGGTTATTTTGTATTTCTTAGCAGTGAATGCTGATGTGTGCAACAGTCGGTGCACGTTGACGGTGAATCAGTGTGGTTGTTTAGTTCAAAAGCAGTAATTTCCAAGAGTTAATACCCTCCTGTTGTTTAAATATTACTGTATTTATTTAATGCAACACAAGGCCACACGGTGTGTCTTATTTTGGCCAAACGCTAAACGGCAATGCTCCGTTGTTCAGCCAGCTTGTTTATTCATCACAGACCTGGCGAGGAGACGGTGATCACTTGTGTGTTGAGAAGTCTTGCCAGAGAGAGTGTCAGGCATGGGATGAAGAGAATTGGCCTGCCCAGTCTTTTACGCGGGATCTTTTGTTTGCACAGCAAGGGTAGGTAGGAAGAGGGGCCGCGAGGTGCACGAGATGAGGAAGAATAATAAACCCACTTGCTTTTGTTTTGTTTGGGATGAAGCACAGAGTTAAAAGTGCACCTTGTACCCTTTTTTGTTAGACGTCTCATATTTTGTGGTTGTGTGTGTGCACGGACACGCTGTACTCCTGGAATTTGGGTGTGAATGTGTTTGCCTCTGGTTATTATTGTGTGTCTGGTTGCCCGGGGATCACCGGTCTTGTGCTTATCTTGTTTGAGATGGAAGACAAACAGAGTTAGTCACCTACTTTGGCTGCTGTCTCACATTATAGAACTTTTTGTCTACAGATGGATTATGTTAGTTTAGAGCGAGGTGGGAAACTGAAATGTCACAAGAGATTTCTTATTTGCATGATGTAAATTCCCATTTGTTGTATTTGAATATGTAAAACATCACTTTTAGTGTTCGTCTGTAGTATTTAGAAGCAACGCTCCGCCTCTGCTTTTGTCTTTGAAAGCCTCCCTGACCCATGTCTGTCTTAAATTAGATTTCCAAACTCTGGCTTTGTCCAAGCACAGTGAAATATTCTCTGGATCTAAAATGAAGGATTATAGACTTTAGCTTGTGTTTGATTTCCAACATTTTAAAATTCTCTGTCCCATCTCCCTCAGATGAAGAGAAAGTTGGACCATGGCCCCGAGGTCCGATCGTTCCCTTCAGGAAAAAAACCCTGCAAAGGCTCAGAGTACCCAAGGTACAGCTACACATCCTGCTGCTGATTTTTCTGTGCACTGTGTTTCTCATGCACCACACGCACTACATGAACTTCTGATTAGGCCAAATAAAAAATATCAAGTGTTTCAAACAGAGGTGCGGCCTACACCGTCAAACAGGCGGGTGCTGTAGATCCAGATGTTTCTCTCACTCTGAATATTTAATGTTCACATGTAGCACCATTAAAATTCTGACTGAACACAGCCACTTAAGTGTAAATGTTGCCATGTAACTGGCCCCCTCTCAGCTTCCTCTCCCATTAAAAATGAATCGATAATGAAATCGACCCCAAGCACCCATTTGGCTGCCAGCAGGCTAAACCCAAAGCCTTAAGAGGGCCTGCAGGGTAGTTTCTGCTACTGCCCTGCTATTAAAAAGGTACACCCGGTCCTTTTGAAGTCCTGCACCGCTGACATCAGTGTATTCTGGACATTTTGACGCTAGTCTGTGTATATCTATGTGTCTGAGCGAAAAGGTCTTTGTGAAGGTTTTAGATGAAACTCTTGAGTTAAAACAGCCTTTTAAAAGCATTGATTCCATTTTCTGAATACTTTGGACAATGGTGGGTTGTCTCTTCTATCGTTGTTGATTATTTTAAGGTGTCTTGTGTTTTGTCCCTAAATTACAGCCCAACAGGTATTGTCCCATGTCCCGCAACACCCACCACATTCGGCCACATCAGAGCAGCCAATGGCCAGGGGCAGCAGAGGCGACGCATCACCTCAATCCAGCCACCTTCGGGTCTCCAGGAATGGCTTCGAACATTTCAGGTGAGCACAGAGGAACTGGACAAGTCCTTCTTGAAAGACGATGAACCTCTGAGCTAAAAGCAGCTTTCTGTCCGACCACAGCGTCTCAGAGACAACTGCTGCCTTGTTGCTGTAGGCTCAGTAGTGTGTGGTTTGGATCAACCGTACCTGTTGGATGTAGAAGCAGCTATTCAGTTATTTTAGGCCACTTTAGTTATCAATGAGTCAGGATCACTGTCTGTTGTCTGTATGATTATTCTTATATTTGAATAATAAATATTTGTCTTGAACTCTAATAACTTCAGGCCTGCAGGAAATGGGGTCTAATTTAAACATATTAGCCGTGATTATCTTGATTTTTATATAATGAGCTGCTACGGATTTCATTACCTAAGAGAGTTTAAACGTATTATCTCTGAGTGGCTGGCTGAACCCACGACACCTGGGTGTTTGTTTTACATGTATTAGTGTTGAGGCCTGACCAACACGAGCTCCAGGCAGCCAAACACCAGAACTATACAAGCACGGCACCGCGACCAGAGTCGTATTTGGATTATAACATTAATAAAATATCAGTACAACCAGAAGAGTGTCTGAACCTTGGCTGATAAGGGTCAAGCAGAGATTAGAACAGGGCTCTTCTATAAGCTGCCGCGGTCCGGTGTGAGTGGACTGAAGGGAGGGAGGTAAACGCAGCCAAACAGCGTAGAGATCTTTAAGCTTAAAGAACGCCTCATCAAGAATGTCTGGCTTGTTAGAGACATTGAATAATGGTTGAAAACTTTTGCTCAATCCTATTCACGAGTAAAGAAAAACAAAATTTCACTTTACAGTAGTAGCCGGGCTGATTAGTGAGCAATACGCATTTTCGATTGAGGAATGAAATGAGTTTGGAACGTCAGCGCCCTGAAAGAGACGTTTTCAATCACTGGTGGCTCCAAAAGACGTGGCACCTTCTTTTGTTTGTTTTATTAAAATAGTTGCATCACTTGTGACTTCAAACTGTCAAATAAATGCTCAGAAGAAAAGGGAAAAGTGATTGTTTTATAGTTTCTCTTTTTGAAGCTGCGCCAAACTTAAAAAAACAGGAAAATGAAGGAGTGCTTTCTAATGAGAGATGGTGGTGGGAACTGTGGAAAGGCCTGCCAGTTGCAGAAAAGCGTGTTTTCTGTCTGATATTAGGTTTATGAGGTGCATTATATTGATTTAAAACAGACAGATTGGCATCAAGCTTTTCTTTCTTTGTTTAGTTTTTTTATTGTGCAGAAAAATAGATGAAAAACCTTCAAGAAATCCACTTCGATTTAGACTGATGGCGTTTTGGAGGTCACAGTGTGAAAAAAGCCTCGAAGCTTTGCAAGACAACAGTTCTCATCTCAGATTAAAGCTGGCGAACCTGGAGTGTTAAAGATTCTGTTTGAACTTTTAAAATCAATGGCAGAAAGTTGATGTAACACGTATGCACATGTTACACAGGCCTCCGTTAGGGAGGAGGCTTCTCAACCTCCTTATTACCTTCAGAACCAACACCTCTAGCTAAACCTTTTAGCTGCCAAATTACAGGTGGCATGCCAAAATTTGCACCCTGCTTCGTGGCCTGTAATCATTGTTAGAGGTTAGAGCTCCACGGAGCAAAACAACTACAGCTGCTGAGATCAACAAGGAGTTGGGGATACCATTCAGCTGCAACACTAAATGCTGGAGCTGAAGTAGTGATCCCACAGAGTTCCCCCAAAGGTCAGCTCCAAATGTTCAACTTCCTCTGCTTGATGTGTGAGCTGAAGCACGCAGGTGCCTCGAGCGGCTCTGCAGCTGAAAACGCCTGACTGTAAGTGTGAGACGGGGAGGTGTTCCTGTCAGAGATGGCAGTGAGCTGGAACCATCCCATAATGCCCGGTTCTGTTTTCATTTCACTTGTACAGGTTTACCGTCTGGGTGTGGCAGTGCAGAGGTGGGTGTGCAATGGTGATGGTGCTGTTGAGCAGCAACGTTTCTGCTTCTGTCCTCGGGTTCCAGTGTGACCACTTTTTCAGTCAAAAGAGAAATAAAAATAAAAGAAACTGCAGCCACAGCAGTTTATTTCAGATTGTACCTTCTGACTGTAACAAAGTCGGCACGCTAGCAGAGATGCTATAACTCTGTTTGGTAAATGAAAACAAACATGGCTAAAGTGATTTCTGTTGAAGTTAATGCTGTTACAGAGAAACTAATACACCCAGGTTCTTCACTGCTGCTTTACACCGTTTTCATAAAATATCGCTCGAGCTGCACGATTATTGCCCTTCATTTCCAACTGTTGTGACTTTGAATTTAATTATGTTTATGTATATGGAGAGAGATTTTAATATGTGCTTAATGTGCAGCTGTGGTTTTATTTTTTACAGGAACAATGCTTAACACCTTCCTTCATCAGGCAAGCATTTACATGATGATCTCATACGTTGGCTTTGTGTGTTGCAGAGCTGGACCGGCCCAGAAAAGCTGCTGGCGCTGGATGAGTTGATAGACAGCTGTGAGCCCACACAAGTCAAGCACATGATGCAGGTGATCGAGCCGCAGTTTCAGCGCGACTTCATCTCCCTGCTGCCCAAAGAGGTGAGATCCTCTGCAGAGTGTAAAACTTTAACCCGTTGCTTTCCGCTCTCGAGTTTCACCCTTTAGGCCTGAGTTTTCTGAAAGTGTTACACAGCAGATCACACGTCTCACACACTTCCTGTCAGATGATAACGTGGAGGTGGGGCCAAGATAAAATGCAAGATTTGAATATGTCCGAGGAATCTGAACCTCCAGGACGTGCCTTCCTATTCGTCTTTGTTCTGTTTATTTGAAATGATTTTAAACGTGTCATATTAATGATTTCTTCTCTTGATTGGGATTTAGTGATGAATGCAAAACAAGTACAGGCAGAGAACTCGTTTCTGATGCCAAACCTCTAATACTTGTGGACGTTAACAACATTTTGTGTGAAAGGTTTAATTTATTCTGATGAAAAATCACCCGTCACATGGTCTTGCTATGCGTTTGTGTGGGATGAATAAACTAAAGTATTTGGTATGGGATAGTTCCAGAAGGAGGCAGTCCTCCTATGAGACAAGGACCAGTTAGTGTTTTTACCCACTCGTCCGATGTCGGTATTGCTACAATTTCAGTGTATTTACGCTAAAGTTCTCCATTTATTATAACGAACATTTGGAAGAGAACGGTTCTCAAAGAGAAGGCGGGATTTAATTTCTGTCGTAAAGGAAAGCTCAGCTGAGCGAAGGGAATTTATGGGAAGATTTAACTTCAACGCCTCCCAATTCTGTTTCCTCTTGTGGTTTGGTTCCAGTCTTCTGCAGGAAATGGATGAAACCAGGTGTGAGCTGTAAGATTTTGGAAGTTAAAACAAAAAAAATGTATTTTTAATGAGTCACTGTAATTACATAGACTAAGTGATGCATTTTACTCTTTATTTATGTTGATGGTGTCATTCCTGAATGCATCACTGTGATTTGGGTGATTATTAGATCATGACAAAATATTTTTGTGAAGCAGGTTTCGTCTTAGTCTAGCTGTGTAGCGGGATGTCTCACAGGTGGAAGTGATTTTATTTTCTCCTAATGAGTTCAAATCAACTATTATTTAAAAGGGTTTTATTTAGAGGTGTGAATCTTCACTTGTCTCCCGATTCGATTACGATTATTGGGTCAACGATTCAATTCGATTTGATATCCCGATGCATCACGATTATTTCATATTGATTTGTTTTCATCGATAAATAGAAGATGTCAGATAATTGCTTTTTATTTTTTTAATCAAAAACATAATTGACACAACCTGCCATCCCTCAAAAGCTCTCCATTCACAGGTTAGGACAAAACATTTTAAACATTTAAGAAGATTTAACAAAGTAAAACATCTGTTTCCTGGTTCAACACCACGCCTCAGGCTGAGAAAAACACGCTTGGCAAAAACTCACAAAATCTAAAGTACTGAAAACCTACAGGACACATAATGTAATAATAAAATACATAATGGGTTCATATATGAGTGTTTAATGTCTCTGAGCAGCTCTAGAGTCAAATATTTATGCCACAGTTGAAGGGTGTCAGAAATAACACCAAATGAAATGTTTGACTTAATTTCATTTGAACCCAGTGGTTCATTTCTGAAATGTTGGAGAATGAATCAAGTTCTGTTTGATGCAGAAAATAAAACATAAAACAAATTCTACACTTCCAATAATATTTAAGATGTGTGTTTTATTCTTCCTGATAATAACACCAGCAGAAGGCTGTGGGCTGGATTAGGATTAAATTACCCAGCTGATGGATCTCTTTCACCAACCAGCTAACTACAAACCTTTCCACTAACCTGTCCTGTGTGACCCTCACCATGTGACCCTCATGTCCATGCTGTCTCTGGAGGAGCAGATATGAGACAAGACCTCCTGTAACCTAAAATGAACCAAAGCTTCCTCCCAGCTTCTCTTTAAGCTGAATTTAACATCAGTTTATCATCATGAAACTAAAGAATAAAGTGGAACAAGAACGTCTATCTTCTATTTCTCTCTCCCTTTAACTTCTCTGTGTCCCTAAATAAAAGACAGATGATTACACTGCAGCCGCCGTCATTGACCCCGCCCCCTCCCCACGACCGGATCTCCCAGCATCACAACAAGCAGTCTGACTGAGCGCTTCCAGGAGAAATAATAACTAAATTATGAAAATAATAACGTGTGTTTATCGAGCGAGCGGAGCACGCCCCACGACAACCCGCTCAATTAACTTAATTCACGGCCCAAATCCAACAGAACCGGTCGGGCTGATTCGGTTCCGGTTTGGTCTCGAGTGACAACTCCAGTGCTCAGCCCTGCAGTACCGCATTAAGGCGGAGGTAAATGTGGAGGACGCTCACTCTTGACAGATTTGGATCGGCGCTGGTGCCGCCGTTAAAAAAACAAAACTACGTTCCACTATAATCGATGATGGCGTACTCTTCTACGATGCAGAATCGTTTATGTCCGCATCCCGATGCATCGATTATTTGATTATTTTCCTCAGCTCTAGTTTTATCATTAGATAGTTTATTAAACCCTTTGTTGCCGCACCTACAGCCACTCACCGCTATCCCAACTCAACGTTGTTTCCACCCGTGACATTTTTCCATATTTGTCTGTCAACAGCTGGCTTTGTATGTGCTGTCATTTCTGGAACCGAAGGACCTCCTCCAAGCAGCACAGACGTGCCGCTACTGGCGCATCCTGGCAGAGGACAACCTGCTGTGGAAAGAGAAATGCAGGGAAGAGGGTGAGTCTTAAGTCGCCCTCCGGTTGCCCAGTGGGAGCAGCTGGAGGTGCTGCTAGGGTCAGAGCTGATCTCAGCAACATCCGTCTAACAAAACAAACTTTGTGGGAAGTATGTGGCCTTTTAGTCCAATCAGATACTTTCTCTCTTCCAACAGGTATCGATGAGCCTCTGCCTCCGAAGAAAAAGAAGATTGTCAAGCCTGGCTTCACTCACAGCGCCTGGAAGAGCGCCTACATCCGGCAGCACCGAATAGACACCAACTGGAGGAGAGGGGACCTCAAATCACCCAAGGTAGTTTTTTTCCCCTTCCTCCAAACCTTAATTCCCCACGAGTTAGCTGATGTTGAAGATCTGATATTGAATGTTTATGTTTATGTTTATTTATTTAGCAGACGCTTTTATCCAAAGCGACTTACAATTTATGACCTATAGAGCATGTTGTGATCTGTGGGGGGAACCGGAGTACCCGGAGGAAACCCACGCATGCATGGGGAGAACACGCAACTCCACACAGAAAGGCCGCAGCCTAGTTTCGAACCTGCGACCTTCGTGCTGCGAGGCAACAGAGCTAACCACTGTTCCACCATGCAGCCGTGGCTTTGAGTCAAAGAAAGTCTGTTCAAAAAGAGGTGGGATGCATGGGATTGATGGAAAGATGGTAATACATCACGTCAGCTGTGTTCTCGTGAAATAATAATAGAGCAGGGCCAGAGGATGGTCTCCTTCAATCTAAAGTTTCTGTTCTTCTGTTAGCACTACAAAATTTCCCTAGAAGTACGAGCAGCATGTTAAAGCAGCGCTTGTGTGCACCTTGAAGGCTTCAGGTGCTTTAAAAAAGGCTGCAGGTCATTTTAGGGCACAGGTTAGCTTTCTGTGGTCTTTGTTTTCCTTTGCATGTGCAGCAAGTTCTGTCATCTGCTGAGCCAGCAGTCCTGTGACCCAGTAGCAGAGACTGCACATAAACACAGAAGCAAACAGCTCCCCTGGAACGTCTTTGTACACCTGCAGCACTTTCTGACATTTTCCTCTTATCTCATTTTCACTTTGATTGCGAAAGCCCCGGAGAGACACTGCTGTCAGTTTAGTGTTAGTCATTTTCTTTTGTCATCCCCCATCCTCTCCTCTGCACGTCCTCCTCATCGCCTCTCTGCTTATCTGTTCTGTCTCAAGGTGCTGAAAGGACACGATGACCATGTGATCACCTGTCTCCAGTTCTGCGGCAATCGCATTGTCAGTGGCTCCGATGACAACACGCTGAAAGTCTGGTCGGCCATCACTGGGAAGGTAAATGCCATGGTGACCTGTTATAGCTTAATCCAAAACATTAAAGGGGGCTGCTACAGAGGTAATTACCATCAGGTGGTGGGTCTTATCGTTGGACAAACAACCTGCGATGATGGTTAAATGTTAGTCTGAAGCCGAGCGTCACGTCTTTGGCCAGGATTTTAAAGATAGGAGTTGAATCAACAAAATTCTCTTTCAAACTCAGATTTAAGCTTTTGTGATCATTGCTCATGCTGCATCAGAGCAGCATCACAACAGCTCCGTCGTCAACACTGAGATGGTGTGATGCATTGTCTGCTGTCGAGCTTGATGATGTCTACAAATTAGTTTAGATAGATTTAGGGTTTAAAACGGTGTTGGTGTGAAGGCTAGGCTACAGAACCGTCTTGCATAAGACTAAAACGTTTCAGTGGGTGTTACACTCCTCTGCTCCATTGGCCTGGCTGTGTGCAACCATTGATTCCATTGAGTGGCTGCTCTTGTTAGCATAAAAATCTAGACCAACCGTTGCAGTATCAAAAGATTTTGCTCTGTAATTCGGTCTGCCCACCCTCCGCTGCAGCCTCAGCAGGTCTTCAACTGGCCTAAACAGTTTAGGTCCAGCCAATCACGGCGCTCTATGTTTGTAGAAAGAGATTGGGTGGGCTTAAAACTAGAGCTGCGACAGAGAAAAACTACAAAGATGGTATCGGCTCAGGAACGACGCTTGTTTCAAAAAGCTTTGGCATCAACTTCGGACGATTTAGACTTGGGCTTTTCTTTGAGACGTGAGCAGATAGAGGTACTTAAATCATTTATTTAGAAAAATGAAGTATTTGCTTTTTCATCAACAGTGTATGGCAAACTGCCCCTTTGACTGATTTTTGACGTGATTAATATGTCACACTGTTCATTGCTATGATTGGTCCTAGCGCCGTCCAGTTGCGTGTGAAGACTGTTGGAAAGACATCTGTAGACCACCCAACCCGGGCGAGACCCCATTTATGATATGGGCTGCACAAAGCCAGGCCAATAAGACAGAGGGGCTTAATGATGGGAATAAAGTCATAACAAAGCAACAACCCACATGTGGTTATTTACGTTTTTGTTGTGAAGTATAAAATGTTGCTAACTAAATTATAGCAAAGACCAGCACTTTGGAACGTTGGAACCTCACCTTTGGTCAAGAGTTTTGGGAAGTGACCGAAAGAATGTGATCACATATGCAAGCGGCCAAAACTGATGGTAGCCACAGTTACCCTGGTTCTCACTGACTGAGACGAGGCTGTGGTACACAGGCACCACCAGTCCCTCCAGCCACCCCTAGCAGCAAGCAAAGTGAAGTGTCTTGCCCAAGGACACAACGACTGACATGCATGGAGCCTCCCATCTCTGTTCTAAGGTGTCAAATTGATGGATAGCTTTCAGAATTTTCTTTAATTAGATAAAAAACAGATCAATGACTCAAATCTGAGTCCAGCTTTGTGTTATTTTCTGATTTCTTATTTATTGATTCCTTCTCTCTGCTCTTTCATAACAAGACCTTAAAATCGATTGTTGCTTCAGTGTTAATTTTCAGATTTGTTTCTTGCATTGACTTTAAAAGACAGGAGGCGTTTATGCAGCCTATGAACACCTATGCTGACTTTCTATGGTTATACACACAGTTTGCCAACTGTCACTGATGGTGGATGGTTAAAACCTTTGGGAGCATCTACACACACACACACACACAGTCCTTTTAGATTCATCGGAGGTGTTACACAGCTCTCGTCTGCACACAGTGTTAGTATTCATAGCCGGAGCTGGAGCAGTCACACAGGCATCTCAACACTGTATATTCAAAACAAAGGTATTAGCAGTTCTGTGGTGTTGCAGATCAGAGCTTTCATTCTTCTCATTGTTGGAACGATTTCAAATAAGCTTTTAATTAACAAAGTTCTCCACACACATTTAATTCGACCTATTGAACGTTAAAACATTCAGCCAGACATACTGCATAGATACTTTGCAGTAGTTTTTTGGTCATAATAGCAAATAAAGGTTTGCTTTTGATTGATTCGAAGACCCTTCCTTACCGAAACTTCAATTAGCCCTCCTCTGAGCTCAGTTAGGCTCCACTAGACTAATTTCTAGATGACAGCTCAATGAGCTACTAGTGCGGCGACTGCACGTTGGGGTGCAGATGTCTGCTATGACTCACACTAACAGCAGGCTCTGCTGCTTTAGCCTGAAACCACCCGGTTACGACTTATGTCAAAGAAACCAAGTGTCTCATATGCTCCTCATGCACTGCTTAGCTGCCTCAAGGGTGTTTGTTTACAGTTGTCACAAGGAATGGATGAGCTGAAATCGGCTTGTTTGGATGCAGTAATCAGAACACACACACACACACACACACACACACACACACACACACACACACACACACACACACACACACACACACACACACACACACACACACACACACACACACACACAGCAGAAACTCTCACTGTTAACAAACAGCCAATTAAGCTGAGTCGACCCTTTAAAAGCACAGATTGTCGATGCGAGTAAGACCTGTGTAAGAATACTACTAGGTTACCAGCTCTTGTATTTAAAATGTCTCTTCACTGTCAGCGTTCGTTAGCTCCCTCGGGTCGTTTCAACCGTTTTGTTTTTCCCATAGAAGTTTGAATGCAGACCGTAGTGGAGGGTTGTGTGTGTGTAGTGGATGAACCTTTTGTCTTTGCATGTCTCCAGCTGCAGCGTGAGCTGTCAATCTCCCATTCAGACACACAAATAGGTGCACAGATTTCTGCTTCAAATGTGGCTCCCTTGTGTGTAACAGAGCAGCGTGTGTGTCCTTGGTGGTGCCTGTCAGCGGCAGCCTCAGCTGTCGTATAGATTTAAGATGGCAGACCTGTGGACTGATGCTGTATCCAGGGAGGACGCGTGCGCCTCCAGATGCTGTGAAGCTGCATAGATGCACGTTTTGTCCACACCTGATTATCAGCGACATCCAGAGATTAGAATGTTTAGTGATTTTTACCAGAAGTAAAGATGAAATGATAAGTAGTTTGATTTTCTGTTAGCACAGTGTTGGCCTGCTTGGGCACATTTTCTGATGAAAGCCAACGTGTGGTCAGTTTGTTATCAAATTAGTAGTGGAACATAAAAGTGTGACTGAATGGTTTTTCTTTAACTTTCTCTTGAGGACTTTGAGGTTGGTGTTATGATGACATACATGTCACAACTAGAAATCAATTCAGAAGGAGGAAGGGTTTATTTCTGCAAAGAAACAAGTTCTCTTTTAGGTTCTTGGATCGGCCCGATTCCATGTGTTGCATCGGCATTTCAGTGGATGCATTTTTGGATTAATTGGTACCAGGGTCACGGCGTACAACAATACAGCTGCTCTGGAGATCTGGCAGGAATGTACGAAATCTACAGTGTGGAAATTTTACTGCAACCACTTGTAATCTCTGCAATTCAAGCATTTCATGAGGCAGAGTGTCCCTCCATACCCCTAGTTTGATTAGACGTCTAAAGTTTTAAACTCAAGGACTTCACACTGTCCGTTCAAATTCAGCCCTGAGTCTGGTTCCCTCCTTAACAACAAATGTCCCGCTTCACACCAGAATTCACCTTTACTGCTATTCACGCTAGCTAGATTTTTACCTCATTTTGTTAAAGAGGCAACGTTTTAACTGTGTTTTGTATGAAAAACGTCTGAGTTTGAGACGGCAGATCAGAACATCTGTCCACTTTACATGTATTCACGTCTCTCTCCTAGAAGCAAATCAGAGAAGCAAGCATGTTAGTCTTCAGGTCTTTTCTTAAAACATCCTATTTTAGCTGCTCTGGGGTTTCCCCTTACATGACATTTGAGACCTCTTGCCTGTGTCTTGTTTCAAGCTCAGGAGCACACAGTGGTCACAGAAATCCTGTAATGACATGGTGTTATTGTGTAATTACCTGTAGCTGTTTAACCTTTGGAAAGTTTGAACTCGGAGCACATTCCACCCTGCTGATCCTTTTGTGGTATTTCTCGTCAGGGTCAAGAGAGGCGGAGCTTTCAAAGAAAAAAGAAAAAATTAATGCGTCCCATTATGTTCCCAATGGTGGCCATCTCTGCGACTCGCTCCTGTTTCATTTTTATTAATACAAAGAAAAGATTTAATGTAAAGCGTTGCATGAAAGCCTTGTGTTTCAGACAAGCGTCCGCGGGCTGAGTCGGTGATAATCTTCCTTCTCTCTCAGAGAGAGGCTTATTTTGTGTTTTTTACACAGCCCTTCGTTCCTGATATTCTGTCTTCCCACGCAGCGTTTGAGTAGCTCTAATCACACCGAGTCTTGTTCTTGGAGCTTTCTTCTAAATCTTTGGTTCAAGAGAAAAAAAACAGAACCTCGATAGGTCCGATGCAACTGTAAGAAAGTGCAGCCCTGCTAGCGAGATATGCAGATTGTAAATAATTTTAGAGAAATTGATTTTTTTTTCTGTCTGTCATCATGAAATGGATGAAGGACGGGCTGCAGGAGTATCGCCATCTTCCTGCTCACTCACTCACACTCATCCGCGGCAGTCAGAGGTCACATTTCACACGCTGAAACGACACGATCCTCTCTGAACCCGACACAACCACAGCTGCTGCCAGCATTTTCTAGCCCTTCTCTCCAGAGAAGCTCAGTTGATTGCATTTAGGATATGGAGACAAACTGTGAAGGCGCAGATTCAGTTGATCAGAAAGATTTCCATAACTGCCGTGATCAATAGCTGATCTGCCATCCCTGATGAGAAGGAATGGGTGTGTTTTATTGAGAATGGTTGTCAACCCCTTTTTCTGTAACAGCAATGAATTTGCTGCTGTTCCCACAGATAAGTAAACCAATTATTAAAGCTCATGATGGGGTCGGGGAGATATCCTGCCCCAGTACAGGCGCAGGATGTGTGAGCTTCTTTCTAACCTCCTGGTATTCATGTAAATTAAATTTAAACTTTCTCCGCTCGTCGTCCCTAAAGGCAGAGGGAAGTTTTACAGAAACAAAGAAATAAAATTTTTAGCTTGAGCGTTGAACCTTGTTCATCTTTCAAACAAATGTTTTTAACTTCTAGAGCAGCAGAGAGGACAACGGTGGTCACGACTTGTCCTCTTCTCTGCCGTTACAGTGTCTGCGGACGTTGGTGGGCCACACGGGGGGCGTGTGGTCATCGCAGATGCGGGACAACATCATCATCAGTGGCTCCACCGATCGCACGCTCAAGGTCTGGAATGCAGAGACGGGAGAATGTATCCACACCCTCTACGGGCATACCTCAACAGTACGCTGCATGCACCTACATGAGAAAAGGTATGAAGCTGCTAATCACTCCCATGAAGGCTGAATGGAAACTTAAACGTGGCTTTGGAGTCATGCTGCTTCTGTGTGGTTTTCAACCAGTAGTTTTTATCTGGAAAACAAAAACTAACAATAAAATTGGTCTAGTTAGGGTTAGAACATGAGGTTGGCCCAATTTGACGTGTGGACCAATAATTTTAGTGGATTACTTTTATTAGACCCTTGTGGATATAACTGGAGGTGGCTCTATTCCGTCAGTGATGTGAGGTTTTGGACGAGAAGTCGTTTTTCTTTGCTGATATGTACTGCAGATGTTTCTGGGCCCATTTTCCTGGCCGATAGCTAGTAGAGATGCACCGACATGACATTTTTGGGCCGATACCGATATTAAGAGTACTGTCATGGCCGAAAACCGATATTTTATTAGAGATGGAAAAAAATATTGGTCATTAATATCGGCCCGGTTTTATTTGCCGAACAGATACCGATATGTTAAAAAAGGACTATACGGATATTGATGCCGATATATTCTCCATCCCTAATATCTAGAGGTTTTCCTCCACATTTTCATGTTAGAATGTCACTAATAACATTGTTTGCTCAAAATTTATGAAGCTGAATCAGTTTTTGAACTCTGAATTTAACCAACTATTAAATCTCAACTTTGCACCGCTCAGTGTTAGTCAGACACCTAATTAAAGTGAATTTAGAGTATTTATTATGCAGATGTTATTAGTGAACGTAAAAATAAAATGTAATTAAAAATCTACTGCAGCACGGGGCAGCCCAAGGATGTGCCTGCTTTTACACGGCCTTACTAAGGACAAATATCGTCCGACCGATACAGGGCTCAGCATAAATGAGTACACCCCACTACATTCAACATTTTCTATGACATACCACACTACAAAATGCTCCCACTAATTTGAGCCATTGTTGCAAACAAGATTTGTTCACACACACAAAAGTGATTTTCCAAGCAAATCTATTTAAGCCCATGTTGCAAAGTGAGTACACCCCAATGATAGTCTTAGGAGAAAAGCCACACTTAAGACTACAAAATTAGAATTAATAGGCATTCAACCACAGGTGAGTCAAATATTCATGTAAGTGTTGTCCAGCAGACAGACAAAAAAGTTGAGGGCTACAAGAAGATCAGGAAAGCTTTACATATCAGTCAGAATACTCTAGCAAAGGTGATCCAAAGATGTAAGAAAGTTGGAAGTGCAACCATCTTACTGAGACATCCAGGTCGTCCATGGAAGTTAACATCTCCACAGGAGCATCTTCTGATGAGAACTGTTGAAGAAAATCACCATGCAAGTTTACTGCAGTTAGCTAAATCAGTGGAAGCCAAACTGGAGGGCCTGTTTCCTGTGACATCATATGGCTGCAGAGGAATGAGATGCAAGGGTGTCGTCATGAAGGAAACTTCTCCTAAAGCTCATGCACTTAAAAGCACCCCTAGGATTTGCTAGGGTGCATGCTGAAAGAGATGAAGGCTACTGGGACTCTAGACTCTGGAGTAATGCGACAAAGATCACCGTTTTTGGAACTAGTGGTTTCAAAACTGCACGGCGTTGTAAAGGTGAGGATTTCAAAGAGAAATGCATTGTGCCTACAATGAAGCATGGTGGTGGCAGTGTCATTATGTGGGGCTCCATGAGTGCTGCATTTCATTGATGGTATCATGAACTCAACAACGTACTGCTCTATACTGAAGGAGAAGATGCTGCCACCACTCCATGCACTTGGTCGTCGTGCACTTTTCCAACACGACAATGATCCAAAACACACATCTAAAGCTGCTGTTGCATCTCTGAAGAAGAACAGGGTAAAGGTGACTGAATGACCAAGTGTGTCTCCTGATCTGAACCCAATCCAACACCTGTGGGGGATTCTGAGGCAGCACGTTGAGCATCACCCTCCATCCAACATCCAGGCTCTTAAAGAGGTTATTCAAATTCAAATTAATCCCAGCGAGAAATTAGAGCTGCAGTACACACAATTGTGAGATCAGACAGACATACATAGACACATGACAAGAATTGGTGACTGTGGTCATTCGCAACCCGAGTCGCGCTACCGTAATAGATCAAGAGGGTTTATATGAGGATAGAGTCAGGGGGAGGGAAAAAGGCGCTTCAGAGTTACCCTCAACAGAGAGGGCAGCTTTGTTATGCAAAAAATACCTCAGACAGATATGCACACAGACTTCAGACATTACACAACATAAGTGTCCACTAGGTGGGGAGGTAGGGTTGGGACTCTCCTCACTTCAGGGCCTGCAGCCGCAGAGCAGCGTGTTTCACCTCCGTTTGGACAGGGGAGGGAGATAATGGGTTAGAGAGCACATGGACTCCTAGATATGGTTCCACGGCCTTCACCGGTCTCAGTCCCACCCAGGTTGGGATAGGGAGAAAGGGTTTCCATAGCGATGGCAGCATTCCACATTTCTTCTGAGGGGGGAGTTTTCACTTCAGCCTCACAGGTTCCAAGGGCACCAGATTCTAAGGATTGTTTCGGGTACAGACAGAGATAATTTTCTCTCTGCCTTAGAGTTCTGTTGGTCTTCAACCCCTCTAGATACAATAATAGCGTAATTAATCTACCGTAAATCCTCTAATATTGGCCTGTATTCAATTAACAGCTGGGTATCATACTTTGGCCGGTGTCGGAGTCGGCGGAGGTGAATAATGGCCGGTTTTTTATTGTGGCCGGGTGGAATGTGGTAACAAGCAAGTACGCGGGGCGGTTGTGTCATCCGCCTCACTTTTGATTTGCCAGTGATAGACCGCGAGGGTAACTTTAACCGTGCGGAGACGAAGAGGAGGCGAAAATTTGATATCAAGTTCAAAGAGAACGTGCTGAACACTCTGGGTAGCAGTAGGGGTTGTATGAACTAGTCACTAGTCGACTTCACCGCTCTATAGTGACTTTTTATGCCTGTCATCGACTAGTCGCTGTCACGTGATAATGACCGGCAAGATGCAGTCCACGGAAAAGACAGCAGCCTGCTGTCAGCAGGTGACAAGCTCCTGCGCGTCGGGAGGCGACGCGCTGTGCCAGAGCGTCGGTACCGACACCCGCCGTAAAACGGACATTTAACCAAATTGTGACGTTTACCCTCTTGCAATTTAACCTTCCCCTCACCCCCATCCTAACCTTAACCAGCTTGTGCATGCAAAGCTCTGATCTTTGACGCGCTCCAGACATCTGCGTCCTGAGCACGGCCACAGTAACATTATCACATCAGGTGTCGCCACCTCAAAAACTAATTTAACACGCAATCGTTCATGTCGGCTCATTTGCTTTTATGTTTTCTGTCTTTTATTCTTTTATTTGTGCCTGATGCCTTTCGCTGCTGTGGAGCGGGGCGCATCACCTGTTTTGTCCTCGGTGACGCACCTCACTGATGTGGCCGGCGAGCACTCCGCTGTTTTAGCGGTCGGTAGATCTTTTAGAACTGCAGTTCAAAGGTAACTCATAAGGTGAATATATATGAACCCAGGTAGCTGAAGCAGAAACTACCATTGTTAAAAGAAATGTGTTTAACTTTGAAAATGTGGGCACAATATTAATTGTCAAAAACTCCAGCGAACCATTAGTTCATTTTGCTCAAATAGAAATTGAGGCCTGTCTCTAATTCTGGTCCTCCTTCCAATAAAGGCCTGGAGCTTGATGAGCTTGAGTCAAATACAGGCCTGGGCCTGTATTAGAGGATTTACGGTATCCCAATTCGTGCTGATCCGTCAACTCTCTCCTGGAAGAATGAAAAAAGACAGATGTTGCAAAATGTTGCCAACTTGTTCATTCCATTCCTAGAAGACTTGGTGCTGTCCTTGAAAATCACGGTGATCATACAAAATCCTAGATGTAGAAGTATTTGTTGTGGGGTGTACTCATTTTTGCTTCAACCAATTTTAGTAAAACTGAATATTTTGTGATCTGAGTTATATTTTAACCTTAATTTCATGTTATGGAATTAAACAAGTGCTCAATAAAACCCAGACTTGGGAAAATTCTGGAAATAGTTCTTTAGCTCACTGAGCTGCTGATTAAATTTGTACTTTTTAAAGGGGGTGTACTCATTTATGCTGAACGCTGTATATCGGGCTACCCCTACTTAGGATGGTGAGTCATTTTTTTATGTTCCTCATGATTCGTAACCTGCAGCATAATCAGACATAAGAGCAGCCTCAGCACAAATAACAGGCCTGTACGTACAGAGGTGATTGAATTGGAGCCTGCGAGCGGTCCTTAGTAAACTCCTGCTCGCTCATTCCCTCTGCGTCACACTCCTGAGACACAAAAGTGCTCTTTTGGCCTCCGGGCCAACCGAGGTTTTTGTGTAGCATTTGATACTCCCTCAGTGGAAAGTCTGAGAGCTGCGGGACAGTGAATAACATGTTGGTGATTTCCATCTCTGAAGTGCTGTTAAAGAGAGACGTGAGCTGTACGCCACGTTTTAATTCTTCCTCCTGTCTTAGAGGCTACTGTAGAAAACTACAGCTGCTGAAACTGACTCAGTTCCCCAGCATTTATAACCGAAAAACAAAAACCTGTTGCTCCTAAAGGGTGTCATCGTCTCCGTAGTAGGGCTGCAACAAACGATTATTTGGATAATCGATGAATCGGCTGGGGTCTCGACACGATTAATCGGATTACATGGGGAAATTTTTAAAAACTGCTAGGGAAACGTTATTTCTCTCCTTCCTTCACTTTATTTAACACAACATTATTAGAAAACAGTTCAATAGCAGAAAAACAACATGCCATCACCTAAACTGTCTTATAAGGTGTATAGACAGAGACCCTAAGCTACACCTATCTGTGACCTAAAATGCTTGGTCCAAGTTAAACAGCTTAAGGGCAATTCTCATCTGTTTTGTTTGATCTCATCTGTTGACATTTATTATAACTGGGGATGTCAAACAACTCATTCTTAAATGTAATTAAACATAGGCTGTGAATTAATCAAAATTGATCACTATTTCCAAAAATGACTGAAAAAATACCAAATAAAACAAAAGTAAATGAATGCCATCCTCCTTGTGATGATGCCCTGGGCAACTGCCATAAAGTCACATCAAGAGATGCTGCTGATCATTCCAATGATCCCAAATAGACTCACATTAGGCCACATGAAAGCAACTGAACCCAAAATTATATTAACCAGTATATAACTGCACTCTCACACAACACGCCTGCAGTAACAGTTAGGACTCCTCCCTCCCTTTTAAAAGCGTTTTTGCTTCCGAGGACATTGTGGTTGTAAAACCACATGCTAGTAGTCTGGCCCCGGTGTGATCAACCAGTTTCTGCGGGAATGTGATGGTGGAACCAGTGCCAGATTAACACTTTGTTGTACCCTGGGCAACAATATTCAAGGGCTCCATCATCACGACCCAAGGATCACCATAATGTGGTCACATACAGAATATTTTACTGTAATATGCAGTAAATATACTCAATACTTGAATGCCTGACAACACGTAACCCGCCCAGAGTAACCTTTGACCCACCTCGTGTGGACTGACCAATGAGGAGAGGGTCTTAACTTGAGGCCCTCTCTTCATTGGTCAGTCTGCATGAGACTGACTCTCAACTGACGTTCAGTCGTAGGCAGCGAAGCGTCTCTGTGCAGTGCAAAAGCCCGGGTGGACAGTTTGTTTAATGTAGGGTGACCATATTTCCATTTCCAAACAAGAGGACAGGGGATCTGTGCCTATGACGTCACACTATGGCAACACCACACAAACCATGTTGGGACCCATTTTTTGTAAGAACTAAATTAATATCAGATTCTGCCAATAAAAGGGCTCTAAAACAATTCATATGTAAATATTTAGCATATTTAATGCAAAATCTCATTTTTCTGCTTTAGTGCTGCAACAAGGTTTTATTAATAATAAATTATTATACTTTTTGTTTTACTACAGCATCGGTAAGCTTCCTGTGCACAGATTTTCAAGGATGCTTGTGTCAGCTGTGAGATTAGACGATAGGATCAATGAAAAAATAAGTTGTCACACACTCCATGGAAACTTTCAGAGAATCCACAAATAGTGGCTTTCAAATGGTTTTGTTACTTTTTACAAGTTTAGAAAAGCAGCAGATGAGACAGCATGTCTGATAATTTAGTTTGTCATCTGATAATATTAGAACATGTCAGTAATGTCTGAGGGGCTTTTATAAACACCATATAACTAACACTACTGGAGAGGGCATGAATTACACAGAGGCTTCTGGGGAGCCCAGTTATGGGGGGGGGGGGCATTTTGCCTTGGCCCCAAAATGTCTTGAAACGGCCCTGGGTGTGTGACTGAGTTTTGAAGGTGATCTGAATTGTATCAGATGTATAAATACTACATGTGTGTAACTTATTGCTTTATACAGGTAAAAATGTGTAGTGGAGATAAATCTACCTACATTTAACTTTTCAACACTTTGTTTTGTTTTCTTGTTTTTAGTTAACTATTTTCCTGTCCGGTCTGTCTCTCATCTTCCTGCATCTCCTCTAAACTCTCCAGAAAATCTGCTGCCTGGATTCTTACCTTTTCACCTCATCAGTTACTTTTGAGCAGATCAAAGGGATCTCATCTCCTGACCGCAGAGCGCGTTTTCGATGCTGTGTGAGGTGACATCACCACAGCACAGGTGATGAGCTCCGCAGTAGCAGAGCGCTTCAGGCACAAATAAGACAGAAAATAGAGAACATGTGCGGACATGAACGATCGTGTGCTAATTATAGTTATTTGGTTGTGCCACTTTGAGAATGGACCGTGCGCTGGAAGCAGCTGCCTGGATCGCTGCGCAACAATGCGCTGTGCCTCTCTCTGCTCAAGAGTCCAAAAATGATATAATATAGAAAACTTTTTTCTGGCTCCCTGGATGTGTAGGATATACAGCTCCCCCATAATTCGATCCCTGCTCCTGGATGAAAAGCCGGACATTTTCATCAATACAAGAACCCGCAGTCCGGACGCGCCGGACAGAGAGTGAAAAGTGGACATGTCCGGGGAAAACGGAACGTACGGTCACCATAGTCCTCATAAAGCAGGAAATTATAGATACAGTAATTTGCTCGTGCCCTGGACCCTTTAGAGTTCGTGGGCCCTGGGCAATTGCCCAGTTAATCCGGCCTTGGGTGGAACCGGTTCGCAGCAGCGCGAACCTTGCGCTGATCTGCCGGCTCTCCCTCGCGCTGATCTGACTTGCTCTGCGCGCAACGGCAGGCGGGAAGGGGGGGCGCTTTTGGGAGAGTCGTGCGACACAACGAATCGATAACGCAATTCGTTGCCAACGCTTTTAGTAATCGATTTTCATCGAATTTATCGATTCGTTGTTGCAGCCCTACTCCATAGCCTGTAAAAATTCCTCCATCCTTTGTGGAGACGAGGCTGGAGGCGGGAGACCCTCCATATGCTCGAATGTGAACGTGTACGTGTTGCTGTAGGAGTCAGAGAAACGATGTGAAGGAGGACTTCTGGATTTGAACTTAAGCGATGGTTTAGGTTTTGATTCTGTTGAAAGGTCATGTTTTCTATGCAGGAGCCTGACTTTCCGTCTTGTGTTTTCTCCTCAGGGTAGTGAGTGGTTCTCGTGATGCCACGCTCCGAGTCTGGGACATCGAGACGGGTCAGTGTTTACACGTCCTGATGGGCCACGTGGCGGCGGTGCGCTGTGTGCAGTACGACGGGCGACGGGTGGTCAGCGGTGCCTACGACTTCATGGTCAAAGTTTGGGATCCCGAAACGGAAACCTGCCTCCACACGCTGCAGGGCCACACCAACAGAGTGTACTCCTTACAGGTGAGCCGCCACTGAACCGGCAGTTCTGCTCAGGCTGAGTGGAAGTTGTTTTTTTTTTAGTTTAGGAGTAATTCTATAAAAGAGACAGCCTGCAGTGTGTCCTCTGACCAGGCACGTAGGTTAGAGAGAAGGCCGTTTGCAGCCTGATTGATTGTTTTTGTTCACCTGTTAGATGTTTAAAACGTGTTGTCTTACTGGAGGTGAAGGGACAAAAAGACGAGCCCCACAGATCAATAAAATGAATCCATTTCAATGACTTTAATCTGAAGTTTGTAAGTGGAAGTGCTGCTAACAGCTGCAAGCAACGGCCCCTCTTACAGCTGATCCTTTGTGTCTGCAGTTTGATGGGATTCATGTGGTGAGCGGCTCTCTGGATACGTCCATAAGGGTCTGGGACGTGGAGACGGGGAACTGCATCCACACTCTAACGGGACACCAGTCCCTCACCAGCGGCATGGAGCTGAAAGACAACATCCTCGTCTCAGGCAACGCGGACTCCACGGTCAAGATCTGGGACATCAAGACGGGCCAGTGCCTCCAAACCCTGCAAGGTGAGGTCCCTCTGTGTGCAGCCTCCGTTTGGAGTAATTTCCACTAGACGTGAAACGTATGAAGTTTATTAGCCGTGGGCGGGTGCCTGTCCACCGGCTGCACAGCATCATGGTTTGGACTCGTCCCGGAAGGACAGTGGCGCGTTGCCTATGTTTCAGTTTATTTTTTTACCCAATATGCTTCCAGAAAATGTTAAACTCAGCAGGTCTGATTGGGCCAGACAGGAAGTCAAACACGAAAGCAGTGTAAAACATCCAGAAACTTTCAAAATAAAAGTCACATTCAGACTTTCAATTGCTTAGCTAGTAAAAAAAAATGTAATTTCCTGTGAAACCTCTGCAGCTGAAGTAAACACAAAAGACGATAAGCCACAGACCTTACTGGATGCATGCAGCCATCTTTCATCTTACCATGTGATTGTTGTGACCTTGTGGGACCTGCTGCGTGGAATAATTCCTCTCCTGATTTGTTTCTGAAAAGCTCCCAGTTGGAAGTTCGCTGACTGGTCCACGCCGCTCGTTTCTGGTAAAAACAAGGGTTAGTCTCTCTGAACTGATTAGCTAGCAGCTAGTCCATCGCAGCCAAAAACGTTTTTTTCTATCATTTTAAAATGGCTCCACCCTCCTAATCCCAGACTTCCACCGGAAGCAGAAGCATGGTATAACGTCTGCAAAGCTTCGTAGGCAGCTATTAGCCACCATTATTGTTGATGGGTGTGTTTCCCCAGCCTCAGAAGCGTGTTTGATTACGTGGCTGGTCTGTTTTTTACCCGCTGCTCTTCCAGAACACACCAACCTCAGCAGCTCAGACCGGGCCAGACAGGAAATCAAACACGAGATGTGGAAAACATCCGGTATCTTTCAAAATAAAATGCATGTGCATATGCTTAACTAGTAAAAAAAAAAACATTACGTGTGACACCTTCATGACCTAGGTAAACACGGCCGAAAACAAAACAGACGTTTCTGCTGCTGCCTTTCTCTTGACTTATCATTGTGCTACAAGCACGCGTGATCTTTGAAAAACAAATCTTATGCTACTCACTAAACTAGCCGTTAGCCCATCAGTCCTGTCAGACAAACTGTTTTTCCTACCAGGACGAAGGCCTCTAACGTGTGTAAGTTGGTATTATTTAAAAGGAAACACACTTTGAAAGATTATTCTGGGAGGATTTCAAAAACTTTAATAACAGCCGTTCTCGTCACCAACACAGGATGATGAATAAAGTTTCTATCAAACCATTTCAGCACGTTCACATTATTACTGTAGTGGCTAACCCTAGCGTGTCATTCTGTCAACATGGATAAAAACGAGGTTTGTGAAACAAACAGAAAAAACACAGAAATACGGATTTTCTGTGTTTGACCTCGTTAGCCTGCTTCCTTGTGTTTAGTCACAAACGTGTGTTCATCATCTCCACCGCCTCTTTTCTGCAGAGGAGCAGCTGCAGTCAGAAACTGACGTTTTCTCCCTGATAAAACAGGTCATTTGCTAAATGAACACCCTAGTCATACATGTCTCTTCTTGTTCATCATGAGTGACGCTGGGCGTGATGCACCCTCATCACGCTTCGGCGTTGGGCCGGAGTCCCGAGCCGTCATCTGGGTTTGTTTGTGTCGTTTAGTAGAACTGAGCCAACACCTCCGCAGCTTCCCTGGTCTGCTTGGAGCCTCATTTCTTTGTGTCTGTTTGAATAGTTGGATCTTCATTACAAGTACTTAGTTTCACAGGAAGTAGGAAGTTCTTTGTTCTATAGAAGTTGCAGCCGCTGGTGCCCCATCCCCAAATACCCTCATTAGCAACCTACAATCCTGTAAGCTGGTTCTTCAAACACCAACGCGCAGCAGAGGATGCCCCAGCGACAGCCTGAAGAGAGCACCATGGATGAGGCGGGGAGGAGGAGGAATGTCAGTGTCGACGACGAGGTCGAGCTGTGAAATGACCCGGGGAACTTTGTAGGTCATATAATTAGGTCAGCGGACGATTTCTGCCACTCATTAGAGCGTTTTGTAAGACAGCAGCGTGACAACAAGGCCGTCGCCGCGATCAGACGAGAGCGGAGGTAGAGATGGAGCTTTGTTTTGAGCCGAGGCTGTTGGGGGTTGGTGCACAGAAGCACGGAGCACTCATCCAGTCAGCAGCAGCAAGGCGACCTTTCAACCTTCCTTCCTGTCTTTTTAAACCAAGAAGACACTGAACCGGTTTTTCTGTTTTCTTGTTTGTATTTAGCGTTAGCTTCGTAATTACCTACATGTTTACAGGCTGAGACAGTAACAGCTCATCGTACCTGACGTAGGCGGAGCCTTTAGATCCCTGAGACAGCCGCAGCATCAAGCCTGTCTAGAGTCAGGAGACTGTTTAGTTCTCGGCTGAGTTTTTCTGTTCTGCTCTTAAATAAATGCTTCCTACAGCTGCTGGTTTAAGAATCCTTCATAAATCCAGTAGTCAACCAAAACAAGTCATTTGAGTTGGTAAAGTGTGTCGAGACACGCGGACAACAGGAACTAAATCAAGATTTTTCTTCTCCTTTCCTAACAAATGAAAAACTCTTCAGAGAAGTTTGAAGTCACTTTGTTTATTCCAAAAAACTCGCCTGTAATTTTAACCTGAAATGTGTCCTTTAGATCGAAGCTCCTCTGAAGTCTCCGAGGTCCTGCTGTGGTGAAGCAGCCTTAACGAGTCTCTTCTGTTCCTTCAGGTCCTCACAAGCACCAGAGCGCCGTGACGTGCCTCCAGTTCAACAAGAACTTTGTCATCACCAGCTCGGACGATGGCACGGTGAAGCTGTGGGACCTGAAGACGGGCGAGTTCATCCGGAACCTGGTCACTCTAGAGAGCGGCGGCAGCGGCGGGGTGGTGTGGCGCATCCGCGCCTCCAACACCAAGCTGGTGTGTGCCGTCGGCAGCCGCAACGGCACAGAGGAGACCAAGCTGCTGGTGCTGGACTTTGATGTGGACATGAAATGAGACGCCGAGGAAGGTTGAAGCGAGCAAACCGCAGAGAGGGACCGGGGAGATGCAAACCTGATGGACAGGCACCAGAACAACCAGAACTCTTCACCGAAACTCACAGATGTTCTAGCATCCACCACCAAAAATAAATAAAGGGGGCAGAGCTGTCCTCCTCCATCATCTCCCACCTCTCCCAGTTAGGCCCTCGTGTATTCACTCCCCTCCCCACCTGCTTGCCGCGGGGCGGAGGGCACAAGCGGTCTGGGAGAACGGCGAGACGTAACGTAACAACCGACCTCTTCTGAAGCGACCGGTTCTGGGTCTGCTTCCCATCGAGACTTGGTGTTACTCAAGCCTCACAGATTTACAAACGTACAGAGATGTTTTATTTTTTAAAAGTCCTCTCTCCCTGTCACGCACACACTCACACACACACACACACACACACACACACACACACACACACACACACAGCCAACTTTTAACCATAGGTAAAGATGGGTGAAGATGTCAGAGCTTATTTTATTTCATCTTCCACACAGTTACTCCCAAAGAGCTGCTTGATGTTGTGGAGACAGAGGAAGCGTCCGGAGCGTCCGGCCTGTAGTCAGGCTCGTTTCTCATCACTCCATTTCCGTTCTCGTTGTTCTCCACTCGGTTTCTGTAGTATGATTTTTATTTCCGTAAAACCGCACACAACAACCCAACTGTGAATTTCAATACCGTCGTCAAAGGAAAGGAGGTTCTGCTGTTTTGTCTTTTCTCTTTTGTACAATCCCAGTATTAGAGAACCCAGCCAGTTTAGAGATGCTGTCTGTGTCGACATATTATTTGTTACTTTTCACGATTTTCTTGACTTCCTGTTTTTCTTCGTCTCCATAATGAAAGTCAGTGCTGTCCAGAGTTTTTCAGAGTCAGTTCTGGAGGTTTCCTCAGCGCCGGTGCTGCAAAGCGAGGTTCTTTTGCTCTAAGCGCTGTGGATTAATCCCCCGGCCCCCCCGCCCCTCGACTGTTTTTCCCCGAGTGGCCAAATTGAATTTATGCTGCTAGAGGAATTGACGAGAGAGAGAGAGAGATGTGGAACTTCTACTTGCTGTGACGTTTTAGTCCCAGGCGAAATTCCAAATTGAACTCTTGTGTGTTTGGACTTATAGAAACAAAACGTGACAAGATAGCATCCTGCTTATTTTTGTTTTTGTTTTGTTTTTGCAACTGAAACTTGAGCCAAACGTGCCTCTACGAGGCTGAGAGGAGGAAAGCGTGTCTGACAGATACTGACAGGACCGCCTGCAGAGAGGAAACGAGGGGATGTACACTGTTGGAGTGTCTGAGCATGTGTGTGTGTGTGTGTGTGTGTGTGTGTGTGTGTGTGTGTGTGTGTGTCTGTGTGTGTGTGTGTGTGTGAGATAGCGTGTTAACTTGTAAACACATTCCTTTGGGACAAAGCTTTTTCAGCCTGTTCTCTGGGGAAGTGTATGAACGCTGTGTGGACGGAAAAAGAAGGAAAAAAAGAATTAAAGGAAAAAACTCAAACTAGCAGATGTACTGATTTAACACGTGAATGAGAGAAATGTCCGTATTCGTGTGTTCTGTTTTATTTTTTTTTTTTCCCATTCAGAGGTGTCTGAAGCAACAGAGGAGACCATCACATGCATCAGCTGACAGGTGGAGCTGCCGGAGTCTTAGTGTTACACATGTTACGGTTCAATTCCCCCGGGACAGGCGGAGGAAATTAAAAACACAAAAAAGGCAACAAGTGTCGGACAGAAACGCTGTAGCCAAACAACACACCGTCTCAATCTTCAAGTGTCACAACTCAAGCCGAACTGTGAAAGTGGTATAACACTGTAAATGAACGAAGAGAAGAAAAAAACAATCTCGCTCTATCTCCTCTTGTTGTTGTTTTTGTTTTTTTTGCTGTCTGTTTTAATTTATGATCTGGTTTGAGAAATCAGATTTGTTGCAGGTGTTTTATTTTGTTCAGTTCGTGTAAACTGCCTGGCAAAAAAGAAAACAGACAAAAAAACTGAAAGGGATTGTGTATTTGTTTGATTCACTTAGAAATTTTATTTTCTTATAACTTAAGTGCAATAAAATGTGGGTTTTTCTTTTTTCATTTCAAGCATATTTGCTGTCTGTTTTTGTTACGTCTCTGGAGGCGTCTCGTATGGTAGCTATTAGCTAAATGTGTTTAAAAGGGAATAATTACAGCTTCAATCACAGCACGACTTCCGTATACGGTTATAACATCCATGTCTCATTAAAGCAAAATATACAAAAATACAGCTTTTAGGATCAGATTTCACACATGACACTAAAATATGTAAATTGGGCAATTGCATATTCTAAAATAAGCATTCTTCATGCATCTCCCTAAAAAACATTTTATTCATTCTGCTCACATAGACCCCATCTCACTGCACCAACGTCTCAGTGCTGGTCCAGTTTTATCATTTTACAAGGCTAACAACTAAAACTCCCTCATTACTCAAAATAAAGTTTTACACTCTAAAAAAATAAAACACTGAGTTTATTTAAAGACCAACTTCACTCATTTTTTAACACATTTGCAGTGGTCTACTATAGATGAATGCTTTGTGAGTTGATCTCTGTGGGGAAAAAAGCTCTGGCGCTCCTGTTTTAGGAACTAGAAGTTAGCTGTTGTGGAGCTGCTAATGCTAACAGTTAGCACCTGTTAGCTGAGACGCGCTCTACTCTCTCCTGGATGCTAAAACAACTGCCTTCCCTGTTGCAAACCAACATGGGTGAGCCCACGCATGCTAATTTTCAATGTGACGTCATCCTGAATGATGTTTTCTTATCCAAGCGTTTCATCATCTATCGGCAGCGCAGGAAACGGGGTAGAAGATCATTTTCACAGTTAACCAGTCATATTTAAAAAATGGCTTCTCAGTGAACTTGCTCTTTAACCAAATTATGTCTAAGGCCTGTCAGCTCCGCAACGGAGAGACGCACACGGAGTGTCCGAAAGGTTTTCACATCCGAAATTCTGTTCAGGCAGCCGAGTGTTGCAAAGCAATTCCCCGCCGGGATAACAGAGGGCGTAGCGCTGTTCTGTGGTATCCTGCCACCATAACACTCATGTAGCCGTCCCCGGTACTGTATTTACTAATGTGTTTGTATATTTCAGAGACTTTGTAACACGGACAAATGTGTCCTTCATTCTCCTCCAACTCTTCATGCGGTCGCCACCTCTAAACCCACATTTCCTGTCATTTGTGTTTTGTACTCCTTCAGTCACGGGGGAATAAATGTTCATATTTTCGGACTTTTTCCGTGATGCGTTCTTCAACCTGTTCTGGGCCTGCAGCTGAATATCTGTTTACTTTTTAACGGAGCTACAGCGGTGCTAGTGTCGAATATACAGAAAGCAGCATCCTGACCAATCACAAGCTTGCGGTCTCTTGTCACTTTTGACGAATGTTTACATTTTTGGGCATGTCACCCTCTGTGAGCCCGTCGGAGAGCCCTTGCATGCTGTCGTTGTGACGGAGAAGTATAAATCAGGCTTAACATAACATAATGTATATTACACTTTACACTTACGCATGGAACCAGTTGACATAACATGCTTAAGAAAATTCATCTAGAAAATCTCATTTTCTAGAGTGTAGTTAAAGCTGGCTCGGTCTTTACATTATTTAATACTTTTATGTTTCAGTGTGAGTTAAAAACAAAATCCGTGTTTCAAACGCATTTTAATATTAAAACACAGAAAAGACGTCTTCATTCTGCTGCTGAAGCTCCACGTAGGGGGCTGAGGAACAATCCGATTGTGAGGGTTTCGTTTTTACATTTTCTTTACAAGCGATCCATCATGAGGCCATGCAGCAGCAGTGGTAACAGATGTGCTGCAGATTCCCTCCTGCCTGTTGCCTAGCGATGGCTCCTGCCTGGCTCGGCCTCTGAGCTCCGTGTCCACTGGCAGTGCGAACGGCATTGTGTGGATGTGCATCCTCACATGAATGGACGTGTGTGAGTAGGGGGTTGGTTTGGTCACTGTCTGTGACTGTTCCCAGGATTCAGTTGCGCCGCATGCAAATGTTCTTTACCCGATGATTCTTTAGGTCGAGGGGGATAAAAGCGAGTAGCTACAACATGCTTGGGATATGGAGCACTCCCATGCCAGAGGGGTGTTTCTGCTGGATCTAAGCTGATTGTGGAAGGACCAAACATTTCTGGCCTATTTAGATCGGGCTGACAGAAAGCAGAGAAGAATGATCTAAGTCATGTCTCAGAGAACACACACATTATATTAACAAATCCTAAATTAAAGCAGGAATCACACACTTATAAGGCTGGAAAAGAAACAAAGGCCACACCATTGGTGACGTGAGGATGTGAAAATTAAATCGGCAAGTTCAGTGTTTCCATCACTTGGTGTAAAATTTAGGAAAAACATTTAACAGTCTGTCAGAAAGTCTCCGGCTACCTCTAACGCATCACAGCAGCTGAAGCTAGATGTGGTGTAAAGACTTTGCAAGAGCTCAAAGATCACAAAGACTCGAAGCATCAAAAATGTCGGATGTGTTTCATTTCTGCTCGTGTCGCAAATAAATATCTAACAATAGCACGCAGTTCAATGAATTTTTAAAAAATAAAATGTCTTTTCTCATCTGCAGATATATCTAAAAAAAACTTGAAAATTGTGAAATAAAAGTTGCAAATATTTTATATTATTATTAAAAATTCAATGCCTCAGGAAGTAAGCTGTTAGTGTTGAGCGCAGATTTCAAGGTAACCATTCTTCCCACATCCTCTGCATGATACCCTCTGACTATGGGGTTCATTTCTGCCTAGCTCACCTTTCATCTGGGCGCTCTGGTTCTGCAGCACCTGACACAGATCTTGTTTGACCGGCCGATTTCTGAGCCAGCATCTTGTTTGTTTCAGTTTCTCTCATAAAGGTGTGAGGGAGACCAGTGGTTCCCCACCTTTCTGTCCTTTGAGGAACCCCTTGACTGTGTCCTGGATAAACCAGAACTTCTACCTGAATACACACGTTAAAGTGATTCGTTACAAACGTATTACAGACAGGCAGCGTTATAACTACTATACAGAGCTTTAATCATACTATTGGGTGTGTTATTGGGATTTTATAAATGTAATTTTTACAAATATAATCTTTGTTACCTCACAACCTCAGTGCAGACATTGTGGGGACGTCCTTGGGGGGACCCAGACAGGTTGGAGGTTGGAAACCACTGAGGGAGGCAGTAGCGCCAAGGGTTTTGCCTAAGAACCCACACTGGATGTTGGTATTTGCCCCAGAACGGATCAGAACCTGGGCTCCCTGCATGAAAGCTGGGTTCCGATCCAGTCGCTTACACACACACACACACACACACACACACACACACACTCATGTTATGTGTTTCACTCTACGTGTAATAAATCTATATTTTATATGAGTTTCTCGTTCTAAAATAAGTGAAAAAAATACTTTCATTTTGAGAGCTATAGCTGCAAACACTTCAGGGTTCCTCCACTGTGACAAACAAGATGATCTGATGCAGGAGACACTGATGCATCACCCCTGGCAGGCCTTAAACCAGCCTAATATTAGAAAGTGATGAATCATCTCATTCATTGACTTTATTAGCCATTTATCTACTTTACTCTAACTGCCACAGTCATACCTCGCTCCCTGTTGATGAATGAAGGCCCCTCACATCTGCTCAGCACTAACCCGCCCAGCCACATACAACACGAGGTGAGCGGCTGCTCGCCAACCGGGCCGGTTCTGTGCTGTGGGAAGTGTTTTTGAGGGTGTGAAAGTCGAGATAAAAGAGGAGCAGGGATGCTCTGCCGCTTCATTCTGTATCCCTTCATCTCTTTGTTCGGTAATCCTGCCCTTCAGCAAAGCAGCTCCTCTGGTTGCGAGCACATTCTCAAAGGGTTGTATCATTAGCAGTGGTAGCGTTTCTCGTCTCCGCTTAATCCTGTTTCAGGTCTTTGTTGTATAAGAACGGCTGAAGAAGCGCTTAATCACCATAACCTGCTGTCTGTGGATGAGCTGTAATCGAGTAACAGTTCTAGGGTATCGCTAATCGGAACACAGGAAAGTTTCTTTTCTTCAAGAAAACTAATTAGGTCATTAATTCTGACCCTGCTAATAACATATTAAAGGTCATAGGTCAGGGTCGTAACCCTCAGCTAATGTGGCACAAACTCTGTATACGTTTTAAATGGTGAACCTCCTTTTTGTCTCTACAAAAACAAAATGGGAGCATGAATCACATCTCATGTCTCATAATGAGTTGAGTCAGGGCCGTTCACGAGAACAAAAATCTTGTCCAAGAGCCAAGAGGGCAGAATTATCTATTAACTTTTCTTTCTTTCATAAATCGGTAAACGTTGATGACACCTGAGGCAGATCAGAGCAGCTGAGCACCAAGAATCTGACAACAAGATGTAAAACTGCAGCGATCACTCACCTAAAAGTTTTATCTCTGAAAAGTAATTTATAACCCTGTCTGTTATTTTAGACAGACGTACAAAATGTAGAAACTCAATATTTTAGTCCGTGTGCAGGCTAGAAGTCAGATGTTCAATCAAGACATTTTGATAATTTTCTGTCACTCATTAAAACCTGATGTTTGAAATAACAGCCATCATGTTCAGAAGCCCCCGCCGCGACCCCCCAATCCTAATGAGTAAACACGTTTTAGTACAATTCACCAATGTCAGCAGGGGAGGTTCTAGATAATGCTGGAAGGGAGTCCAGGCCCATGCCAGCTGCTCTGTTAGACATATTTGTATGAAAACAAATCAAACACTGCCTTTAAAGACCAAGTTCACTCATTTTTTGACGCATGCAGCGGTCTCTAGTATTGACTGTGAGTTGATCCCTGTGGGGAAAAAGCTCTGGTGCTCCCAGTTCAGGTGGTTAGCCAGAGGAGAGGGGAGCAGATGGCGGGTTTTGGACTCTTATTTCTTGATATTTGGGCATCTTGAATCTGACTGGCTAACAACAACCCGCCTCTACCATTCACTCCGTTTGTTTTGCATTATTGATTCCATACATAACACAAGCTTGAAGATGTTCTGCTGTGTCGTGGAGTTGCTAATGCTAAAGATTAGCTTCTACTAGATGAGACGTGCTCTGCTCTTTCCTGGATGCTCTCGAAGCTTGCCGACAGGGTGGCACTGAACCACCATGGACCACCCCAAAAACCATCCCTGAATGTCAGCTGAAACCTCCATCCATGGACTTCCCAAAATCTGAGTTCAAACTTAAAAAAGTTTGTACTTAAATATTTGGTGTAAAAAAGCAAAATTCCAAATGTTTTTACGTCATTGATATAATGCAACGTTCAAAGTTTAGTTTTCAGATATTGTGGAAGAAAAAATCTGTTCTGCAGGATAATTTCTTGATAAAGGTTTTAACTTGCTTCTCAGCAAGGATTGGACGTCTAATCAGTCATCAACTGCAGGTGTAAAAGTCGATAAAGATTTAAAACCTCACTGGGTGCAACTGTGGTGATTAGTCGGAAACCCAAAATTGGGAAAAATATGCAAATTTAGCAAACATTCAATAGTTACATGATTGCAAACAAGCTGCAACATTAAAGCAATATTTTTGTTACATCTAAGTAGCAAAGTGTCACATTTTGGTCTCCAATAACTTCCAGGGTTGCCTCATGCTTTACAGGTTGAGGGTTCCATCCCGTGACCTTTTTCCAATTCTGTGACCTTTTTGAGCAAAATTGTCCTGCAAAGTATTTGAAAAAGTTACGACATTTTGCCTGCAACTAATTCCAGCCTGGTGTAAAAACTGGTTTCAGGGAATCGTCCAATCAAAAAACATCTGATTAAGACTTGTTCAAATGTTAAACTAGTTAATAATTTAATCATTTGAGTAGTTATTTACATAAACAGTAGAGTATTCCAGATCCTCAGTGGGATCCATGGGATTATTCAGCTCCCTCCACATGTAACTGAGCCCCTCGGGGCTACCTGTGATCCAGATCTAAGAGCAACATTACATCTTTCCTCTTCCCTGATCTCCTGAAGGTGGCAGAAACCTTTGTTTTCTGTAGGATACAGAAGGTCTCTAAGTACAAAGCAAGAATTTTTGGAATTATAATCATGATCTACACAGACTCAAAGTGAAAAGTTGTGAATCCTGCATAATACCCGTAAAAGATCAACGCAGCAGTTAAAGGTTATTTATCATTTTAGACTTTTTATGTTTTTCAAAAGCAAATAGACTGTATCACAAGTATTCTGAATGCAATGCATTGAATAAGAAGCCTTTTTGAGAAATTTCATCCAAGAGTCTTTTAGACACAGGGGCGGTGCTAGAGAATTTCTAGAGAGGGACAGTGCCCCCTTGACAGCAGAACCAGAGCACGTGAATTAATTTATCTGAAGCTGAAAAGAAATGCTGGGACAACTATTCTCATATTGTCACTGAGATAAATAACACATTTTTGCAAAAAAAGTTACATACTGAAGCTAATTGAAAATATATTGTAACTAAAATAACTGTAACTGTTATATGGTTGTAATTACACACTAAAATTTGAAATATTTAAAAACAATGTTTGTAGTGTTTTCTTACACATCAGACATGGAAGCGCGACGATGCACCGTGGAATGAACAGCATTTCTATTCGGCGCCCTTGTCGACCCACGGTCTTGGTCACATCAGCTGTAAAGCGCCACGATGGCTCACACCGTGCAGCGATCGTTTCAGCGTGCTTTCATTTATTCATGAGCCATGAGTAAGCTGCGTCAATTCCGGCAGTAAGTCGAACCAAAACAGAGGAGGCAGACTGGTAGATTTAAGAAAATAAAGAAATTTTTCTAAATTAAACACTGCTATTGATAAATGTTATCCTTTTCATGTATCTAAACAGACTAGAGATGGATGAAAATGAACAATGACACACCACACACACACACACACACACACACACACACACACACACACACACACACACACACACACACACACACACACACACACACACAAACACACACACACTCTCCAGTGGGGAAACAGTGTGTTTCCATCATTTTAAAAGCAATTTTTATAGCAAAAGATGGATTTAATAAATGTGAATACAAGCAAAGCAGTTTCATTCAAACACATGAGCATTGTACACTACCATACACACTAGATTAGTTACTTAACCAGACTGGTCCACTGGTCCACAAAAGAGCAGCAGGATTCAATTCAAGTTCAATTCAAGTTTATTTATATAGCGCCAAATCACGACAAGAGTCGTCTCAAGGCACTTCACATAATAAACATTCCAATTCAGGTCAGTTCATTAAGCCAGGAAGAAACCTCCAGAGGATCCTGGCTCAGTATAAGCAGCCTCTCGCCACGACTCACTGGTGATCGAGAAGACAGAGCAGACACACGCACCCACCAACACCAACCCACACACACACACACACACACACACACACACACACACACACACACACACACACACACAACATATATAGCGCGTCAAAAACAAACACTTGGTCAGCCACCCTTGGCGTCACACCCTTGACGCCAAAAGTGCCTTTTTTTGTCATTTTTTACGAAAAGGGGTTTTCCCTTTTCTGACTGCAGATGCGAATGCATCGTAAAACTGGCGCGATGGGATTGTCCGCAGCCGGGACACCAAACGAGCACATTTTACCTCACCCTAACCTTATCCTCTTGTTATTTAAAGAGCAAGTAATGTCTAAATTAACTTTTTTTTTGCTGATGAACTGTATAAATGAGTGTCTAATAGTGTTTTAAATGTGTGTATTCATTATTTTAACATTTTGGTGCATTTTCTTTGAAAATTAAAAATTCTACCCTAAAAACCACAGTATAGCTCCACCTTCAGCTTAAAACATTGAATTTGAGTCATTTTGAATAAATTCTAGTCAATGGCTAAAGAGTAAGATACTACGTAAACCAGTAGAGTACTACGTAGCAGCTCTGTGTCAAAGTTATAAAAGCAACAAGCGTCTCGGCCACGCCTTGTGGCGAGTTGGGAGTTGGATTTGCAAGCGAGTGTAGGAGGTTAGCCGTAGTTCAGCTTTAGCATATAGCATTAGCATATCCTAGTCTTTAGCATAGCTTTTAGTGTTATACATACTTATTTAGTGTTAGTTTGGCTGTCGGATATTGTAGTTTAGTTAGTGTTTGGCTGTTAGTGTAATTAGGAAAGTAGTTCAGGTATAGTGCTCCATATCGTGTTAGTATGGTGAGAAGGTGTAGTGTAGTGTGGTTGCGGTGGCTCTGTGGGGTTGCACTCCTTTCCGATGGACTTAGAAATTAGGCGCCAGTGGTTGCGCGCAATCGGTGTCTGGAAAACATTCAGCTCCCGCCTGGTGCTGTAGTTTGCAACCAGCATTTTACCGCGATTCTGCACGTCTCCGTTTGAAGAGGGAGGCTGTGCCCACCGTGGCTCTTCCATGATTTAGATGCAGCCCACCGACTCTGCTCCCCCACCATGGCGGGCTCCAGTCTGAGGTGAGTAAGCTACATAAAAGTTTTAACATCTTCTCAAGACAATTCCCTACCTAAATGCAAAGTTTGAGAGACGTGGTTCACTCCATTTAGCTAATATCAGCCTGCGCTGCCTTCGGGCAGATTTGTCAAGTTCACAAAATGTGGAACGGGATGTAAGGTTAGAATCAGCGGCGAATCGGAACATGTCTCGAGGCCCTGGCCGACAAAACGGTCCCCATGACTATTACTGTCAGGCTCCGAGAAAATTCGGGTTGTTTTTGTGTCAGTCAGTAATTCTGCAACAGTGACTAACTAACGCAGCACTAGTTGACACACAGCTTGTGACCCGGTTCTGTAAGGAATTCTGTTCAGGAGGTCACATTTCAGGCTCTCCACATCATATGTGACTGACTTTTACGTTATAACAACGATCACACACTAGGAATGTTATAAAGCGCCTATATAGGACAGTTTCTTTTGTATATTATCTGACTTTATAAACTCCAACAACAATGTGCTTCTATTTTTTTTTTCAGGCTAAATCTACCCAAGACATTGGCTGTCAGACTGATTTAGCTGCAAGAATGCACTTGTCCAGGCTGACGTGAAGTCTTACCCGTAGCAAAGGTGAATTATTTTTAATAATCTTCTATGTAAACATTTTATTATTACCTTCTAGTTTTAATTTGTTTTACAGATTATTGTTACACGTGATTTTATGCTCTTTTAAACATTTATAAATGTGCTGTTTCTTTGTTTTTACATAGCCACCCAGAATAGAGCTCACAGCCACAGTGTGTGCTGTGACACAGGGACCATGACGGAAATCCATCTTCCAGAAAGTCCCAGAGCAGCGTCCACACCCCTGAAAAGACCAAGATGTGAGGTGTCTGCTGTTGATTCCAGCTTCCACCTCAGTGACAGTGCAAGCTCAGTGAACTGTTCAAGGTAAAAAAAAATTAAAACATTTCAGAATTTTTAAGATATTAACAATTAAATAAGTATGTGATTACATCATGAGATCATGAAGGAGGCTACTGATTCTGGCCCTGTGACACTTGGTGGTGACGTGTGAGCTGATTCACCTGGTAAATAACTTTTACATTAAATATTGTGTTTTTGCTATCAAAAGTAAATTAACTAATAACCTGCATTATTGCAGGACACTCAGCAAAATATGGACTCTACACCATGAGGCAGGCACACGTTAATACTCTATAAGAGCACATAAGGTGAGCAACACCACATATTATTGTTATTACTGTACACTGTCCTGGATTTGTTTTCTTTCTGCCTCTCATCATTAGCCTGGCTGATTACCTGATAACCCCTGTCATCTGGTTATGACAGCATGAGGATGTCCTCACACACCTGTAACCTATCAGCTCATCTGGCAGAATAGAGAGAGAAGAGACAACACCACATATCCTGTTCCTGGAAAGCCTTCAGCCATCCTTCCATGACTGAGAACCTCCATCAGCTCTGTCTCCTGTCTGCCTACAATTATTATAATAAATATTGTGTTTAACAAGTTTTTTGTGCTGCCAAATATCTCATTTTGATTCCAGTTTTGATATTTTAATGGATATTTATAAATTACATTGATTATCACATTGTTGCATGTTTAACTAGCTCTATTGTGATGAATTAAACTAGCACATCACTGTTAAAAGCTCGTTTTAATTTCAAGCATGTTTAAGTATTTATGGACATGAACAAAAACAGGAAATATATAAATTGAGATTTATTTAATTAATATAACAAATAAGGGGGAAAGAGTCATTGAAAGGCACATTCTTCTGGAAGCTCCTGATCCTGACGACACCAGCAGAGGAGACCAGCTGCAGACACCAGAGGATCACTTACAACCAAGAAAGCAGCTGTTATCAGTAAATAAATAATGAAATCAGGGCAGTTTTAGTGGGCTGAACACATTACAGAATAATTTTCTCATGGGGTATTTTCATAACTTTATATGCAGCAGACTGTAACTTGAGCCCAGAGCTACCGGAGAGCTGCTATCCAGCACGTTTCAGTGGTTTTCCTGCTTTAACAGGTTAGATTAGCTGTTAAGCAGCTCAGCTATTTGTTGCTGATTAAAACCAGGTGTGCTGAAGCAGATAAATCTCTAAAACATGCTGAATACTAGCTCTCTAGGGCCGTGGAGCCAAACCCTGCAGCTAATCTGATGCTATGGCTAACGGCTACTTACCATTCAGAGCTGGTTCTGTTGGGTCGGTTCTGCAAGTTTCAGGCAACTCACAAGCTCAAAACAATAAGGCTCAGGTCCGCTTGTCTCCTCCAAATAGACTTGGTCCCTTTCTTCTCGAGTGTCTGTGTAAGGAGGGGGAGAAACGTCCTCCACTTCTAATAACTGTCAGAGTGAAGGGAGTTAGCATCGTCTAGTTAGCCATCGTCTTCGTCACTGCCGCGACTCCGCCCTCTCGGTCCTCCAGGCAACGCCTACTAATGTTGCAGTTTTTAAAATTGATAAGTGGGTGGAGTAAGACTCTGAGGGGGGCATTACGACTTCTTTAACCTTCCCCTCACCCCTATCCTAACCTTAACCATCTTGCTAGCTAACACGTTAAGCCGGGCGTACACTGTGCGACTTTTTCACTCGCAGCGTTCAGCTTCAGCTCAAACTGTACGACTTCCTCGCAGAGCAGATCTCACGAGTCATGTGCTCACACTGCACGACCCAGTTCTCGGATGCGACCTGACTGCTCACACTGTACGTCTGGTAGCAACACGTTGGCCCTAAAAATAAGCTAAAAATAGCAGTTTTTACTCAACACGTCAGACTTTTTTGTTTTGCCTGTTGTCCTTCGGGAGTGCTGCAGGAGGACACACAGGGATTTATGGGGGTTGGATGAGTAAAACGAAATAAAGAAAGTAAATCTGTGTTTTGTGATCAGTTTAATATGACATGAACACGACAAACACGCTTTCTTGACAATCATTGTGAGTAAAAAAACGTGTAGAAACAAAAACGAACAGCGTGTGTTATTAGGGAAATAGCGAGCGGCGTTGATGCAGGATTGCGCATGCGCCGTGAGCGGTTCTGATACTTTTTGGGTCGCAGCTGCTCGCAGCGCCGCTTCAACAGTGCGATACCCTCACGAGGGATGAGCGAAATTTTAAACACTCCAGAAGTCCGTGCAACCTCACGACTGCTGATCGGCAGCTGGTCACGTGGTGTTAATCGCCTCTGTACACTACACGACCGCTCGGCGCAAAACTCGCCCCGATGTCGTGGATTCTCGCACGACTGGAAAATCGGCTCAAAAAAGTGAAAAAGTCGCACAGTGTACGCCCGGCTTTAGTGATGTGTTGGATGCTGTAAGATCCAGCTCTATGAAGTGAACGGCGGGAGCCGCCTTGTCATTGGTCGGGTTTGGACCGAGGCAACGCGAGGGGGAGGTATCAACTACCAAGGTGGAGGTTAGAAGTAGAGGGTATTTGTAACCTCCCCCTTGCCAGATGGTATGTTCTAACGTTCCCCTTGTCTGGGTGGCAAATCCGAAAATTCACAGTCAGAATGCATGGGAAACAAATGCTTGATCACAGTGAGAGTAACGTTTTAGGTAGCAAGAGGGTTAAAGTTAGGATGAGGGTGAGGGGAAGGTTATAAATATCAAAACGTTAAGGATTAGGCGCAGTTAAATGAGCTGGTTCAGCGGACATCCCATCGCATCAGTTTTACGCTACATTAGGATCTGCAGTAAGAAAGGAGAAAAACCCCTTTTCGTACAAAAATGACAAAAAAGGGCATTTTTGGCGTCAGGGGTCTGACGCGGAGGGTGGCTGACCAAGCGTTTGTTTTTGACTCGCTGGGAGTGAGAATGTGTTGATATACCAAGTAATGTGTCTATAGTTATATTGTGATTTCTTAGTAAATATTCTATTTGGTGAGAGATAAACTTTATTGTATTTATCCTAGTGAATCTATAATTAAACGGGTAAACTAGTAGTAGCAGCACATTAAATGTCAAAGAAAGTAAAAAGTTATTATCAGGAGAGGGAGAATGTTCAAGTGGTTAGCAGCAGTGTTCCAGCCGATGGACCCCACCATGAGACTCAGTTTCTGATATAAACAAGCAGGGCAAACTGGTTACACAAGCACACACACACACACTGCAAGGGCACGGGGGTAGCAGAAGCACTCGGCGAAAACTCTTGCCTGATGTTAACAGAGGAGCAACAGGTAGAGTGTGAATTTTGTGAGCGATCCCCATCGCGGCGCTCCACAGCTGATGTGATCCTGATCTAATTCCCCCACTCCACCTCCCACATGCTGAATGCCTTAAGCTCCTCACTGTGAAAGTAACTTGCAAGGAGCAAAAATGTGGCCACGTCTGGTTTACATCAGGTTTAAAGAGCCGGCTCTTTCAGCTCCCAAGTGGCTCCTCAGATTTTCTGTTGCGTAAAGTATATTTATCACCAAAAATAATGCAAAACTATAAGTAAAATGATTTACTAATGTAAAAGTATGCAGTATATCAACTATTTATCATTTATATGGATTTATTTACTGAAAACTTTAAGAAATCTCAATTTTCCGACTGCTGGCGCTCATTTTCTCACTGTCTTCGTCGCACTTTCCTCTCTCTCGCTCGCCTTTTTCCTCCTCCTTATTCCCTCTCGTCTCCCTCCGCCTGCATGTGCTCAGCTGTGTGTCTGTCTGTCTGATCCTCCCTCTTCCCCGCCCCTACTGCTCTGTGTGTGGACAGTCTGGACCGTCTGGACATGCAGTTACACATGTTGACCAATCGCCTGTGGCTTTCACCAAAGCAAGAGGGGGAGGGGAGGGAGGGTGACGGCTCCCAATGACGAGCCGGCTCCCGTCGTTCACTTCACAGAGCCGGCTCTTAGAGCCGGTTCGTTCGCGACCGACACATCACTAGCATAAGAGTTTATCATACAGTTAGCATGCCAAACTCCCATTTGCTAGCCACAGTCCTTATGGTAATGGGGTTATTTGTTTTTTATGTACCCTGGACAGACCCATGTGCTTCATCTGCACATTGTAAATTAACAACTCTGATATTATTATTATTATTGCGTAATTGTAGTCATTTTCCAAAAGGCCTGTGAAGGGACAACTATTAGCACATTAGCTCCACCAAGCGTGTTCTTCTCCAGCTGCTAGGGGTCTTTCCTCATTTCTGACCGTGTTCAATGTAAATCGGAGGGCTTTTTTTTTACCTGCAAAGTTTTAAACGGACAGACCTCCCAGAAATTCAAATGTGTGTTTTATTACTTTTTGTATGTTTATGTTATAACGTCTTTTAAGTAACCTCCAGAGTTAGAATGGCTGTGCCTTTGGATCACACATAAAACTATTTTGGCAAACCGTTTAGAAAATAGTAAACATTTATCACTGAAATGATGACAGGTTTAACGTAAGACCAGAACAGTCACATAAATAACTACAATCCGCTCATTCGGAGAAGCATTTACCTAAAACAAAACCTTGGAATGGCTCTTCAGCTTCTGTGAACTTTCACCTCTCTGCTCTTTGACCTTGGCCCTGCAGGTTTGAAATATGTCACAGTTTTGTTTCTTTGGAGGATCGCTAAAGGAGTATTCAGGCTTCACGCTACACCAGAGGCCAATCTGCAGCGCTCACCTGCGTAGGTGGATAAAGTATGGCAGGGGAGGATGCCAGCACACACTGCTGCAGGGAGGACACGCTGACTATCAGCACCACCTGCCTCATTTGGGTAAAATGATGAGAACAAGGTGCACAAAGTGTGTATGTGTGTGTGTGTGTGTGTGTGTGTATGTGTGTGTGTGTGTGTGTGTGTGTGTGTGTGTGTGTGTGTGTGTGTGTGTGTGTGTGTGTGTGTGTGTGTGCGCCTTCATTTAGCTGCAGAGGAGATGAGTAAGCAACTTCACATCAAGTGATAATTATTTGGTCAGTTTTCTGCAACGGAGCACAGATTGCATGTTTTTATGATGGATCTATTATGATCTTGATGTGTTTTAGAGTGGAGCAGAATTTTAGGTGGTTTGGTGTCAGATTATTTTAAGCAGATAGATGCAGTGATCTCATGTGCCTTGCTGCTTGGCTTGGCCAGGACACGCTGCTGCTGACAGCTCCAACACCAGAGACGAAGGGCCGCAGGCGGAGCTCAGCCACAACAGATCATTCTAGAGCAAACACATGACTCAACAAGGGTCAGATTCAGAAAAATCCTTAAATCCTCCAAACCCTGACCTCTTGTTTGGTTCTCAAATCACGCATGTGTCACATTAAGGCTAAAACAAGAAGCCGTGGCTTTCAGTTAAGCTATCATTATGTATTATGAAACCACTGTGCCTCTCAAACTCACAGCCACCTTACGGGTGGGTGATTTCAGGTGTGTGAGATAAACAGAGAGGGAGAGGTGGACAGGTCTTCCCTGAGATGAAAGCAGCTCCAGCCCTGAGCTGAAGTTGACAAATGTTTCCTGTTCTTGCAGCTTCCCTGATTCTTCCTGTCTACATCTATGTGCACTAAAAAGAAAAAAAGCTATACTAGAGAAAGATAACGTTACCTGAGATGCTGGGTTCATTCAGGTGTCACAGAGAAAGCAGAGCGATGGGTTCCTGCAGAGGTGAACCACAAAAATGAGTTTGTTCTGGAAGCATCATGACTCTGATGCATAGGCGTCATTTTAACCGGGGACGCCGGGGACATGTCCCCGGCAAAATTTGTGATTGGCAGCTGTGTCCCCCCCCACTTTCAAAAAAGCCTGCTGATGAGGATTTTTGTTTTACCAGCTCAGATCTTATACCAGGGGTCGGCAACCTATTCCAATCAAAGAGCCATTATTACCCATTTCCCACGGTAAAGAAAACACCGCAGCAGGCGCAGC